ACACATTCATACCTACTCCATTCATCGTGTCCGATCAACCTACTCCTCTATCAGGCATGCTTTTTGGGGAGTGGGAGGAATCCGGAAAACCCTGAGAGAACTCACGCACACATGGGGGAGAACATGTAAACTCCATACAGAAAGATCAAGTGGGTTGCCACTCTTGTTTGCACCACAGACCACTTTTTTGGATAGATATTAATCTCACACACTAATCGTCAAGGTGCAAAAAAAAGACATTAAATTATAAGATAATATTTAAACAAATACAAATATACAAAAAGTAAAACGAACCATCCAGTTGAACATCCCTAGTTACTATCACTGTACCTTCAGTTGGACTGTGAACATTTGAATTACAGATTCAAAAAAGGGATGGCTCCATAAAACCTCATGTCCGATACCTATACTGCAACTTGGAGTATCTGCCGATATCGATATCAGTCTGATTCCTTTTTTCTCCTCCAGCATGCAGCGAGCTGCCGTTGATGTGGCGATAGTGTCCCTGTTTATGGAATGTTACACAAAGTTAAGTTGAGCATTTGAGCTCAGGTATCGGATTGGAGCGTTAGATTGGTTTTTTTGGAAGCTTGATACTGAAATTCTGACCAATATCTGACCGTTACAGATCCTGGTCCTTGAATATTGACATGCTAACTCCTAGCTGCTGAGTTCCCTCTGGTTGTAGGCTGTGTACGCACTCAGGAACATGTCCCTGCAAGGCATAACCGCCTGTAGCTTAGAGCAGATAAGGAAGCACCCTGCCATCTTGCGATGGAGGGAATATGTCTCCTCAGGAGGAGGGGTGAGACGATGTTGCAGCATGACGTGGACGAGGCCCTGAATTCGTTGAGTCGTGCTCTGTTTGCCGAAGTCAAAAGGCTCAGGAGATGAAAATGCTTCACCGAGGATCATCACTGCCTCGACGTGGGCATCTATAAACGCCTAAATGCGAGAGAAAAAAAGAGGTTACACTTAAACACATGGAAAACATTTGCTGCGCTGTAAACTTCCCGCCATATTTATGCATTTTCTATGGCAAGTAAACAGTATATTCAGAATATGAATATTTAACAGTCGGTAGCTGACGACAATGCTACTGCATTAACAGAGTTCATCGTGCGTGTCTTTTGCACACAAGCTAATAAAAGACGATCTAAATGGAAACAGAAGTTGTGATATGGATGA